CCTCCCCCCCCCCCCCCCCCTCATCAGGGTTTTAGATAATTTTCAAAGCTTGATTGAACTCAAAACAAGTCTAGGTTGTTTGCTCATGGCACGTCAGAAAAACTAGTGTCCCAAAACTACAAATGGCATAAGTCACTCAAGCTATGATGATGATTTCAAGCCCTGACCACCAGTGATGTCAGTGAGCTGGACGGTACAAGACACAAAGAATCCCCAGCAGGTGAATGCAGGTGTACCAGGGGGAGCCTGCATTCAATGTATCAACTGCATCAATATGCTCCCACTTGGAGACTCATATAAATCGAGTTAGGAACACACTTTACAGAGGTGCCTTGACGGTGGCAGTGCGGCTTCTACATATTTTTGGTCAAAGGTTTGTGCAACTAAAACCTCTGCTTTTAAAGTATACTGTTAGACGGGGTCCTTTGTTTTGTTGCAGGCAAGCTGGCAGGTGTGCTGGGAATTCTTTGTGTCTTGTATTGTTGTAAGCCTTCCCATGTGCACCTTGCTACAAAGGCTGGTTATAAATGTATGCGGTTAGCCAGAGCCAGAGGTACTGTGCACCACCAGCACCCCCCCAGAATTACTTGCAAGTGAAGAAAGGGGGTTTCCAGATCACCCCAATACTGCATATATATTTTTTCCTATTTCATGGCTGCATTAAGAACCTCAGAAGCTTAAAGGAGAACTATGAGGTGGGGGGTGCTTTTCACTCACCTCATAGTTCTAGCCGACCTGTGACAATGAGACTGTCACAGGTCGGCTCAGTAGATCGGGAGGTGAGCGAACACATACCGGCGTTCGCTCACCTCTCGATCCTGTCACGGCTCCCTGCCGTGACAGGGGAGGGGCTGGATTCCCCGCTTCGATCCTCCAGCGCTGACAGGCGGAACGGATGGGGGAGGGGGGCGGGTACAGCTGGCTCTACCTCTAGATAGGCAGAGCCAGCTGTCACTCACGCAGCTGGGCGGCTCCCTATATACTGAGCTTAGGGTGATGGGAGGACGCTAGTTTGTGTCCTCCCGTTAACCTAAGGAGAACTATGGGGAAAAGCCCTGACCCCATAGTTCTCCTTTAAATGCTTATTATGCTGCCAGAAGCCTCTAGAACCAAACTGGGAGCTTGAACAAGCCCCTTCATTTCAGACTAGAAATTTCACAGTTGCACATTGAGTGCTTCAGGTTTTGAGCATTTGGAGTATTCAGGAAAAAAACATTGAAAAGTAACCTGTACATAGCTGTTTTTAGAAACAAATGGAGACCCACCACTGCATCATTCTCCACCCACTGCAAGGAAACTGCACAAAAGAATGAGTATTGGCAAATCTATACTGAGTGCCCAAATCCACCTGATTTTTATAAACATGCCCATCCGTATGGATTGTTATCTGTCTCTCTTATCAAATAAAAGAATTGAACTCCTGGATTTGTAATGATTAGTTTCCAATTGCATTTGCTGCATAAGATAATACATTTGTTATCTAGGTCATGCATTCGTCAGGCTGGAGATGTAACTGAATCTGATTGGCTGTATTACAGACATTATCAGGGTCCATTACAGCAAATGGATCCCCCCAGGATATTGTCTGTGCTGCACTGCACCATGCGTCTCTGAGATCGGCTGTTTTTACACCTTCTCTCCTCAGGAAGGCGCTTTTGTTCCACTGCAGGACTACTGCTCATTAAAGGGGCGCAAAGAATAAAGAAAAATACATTGTAATAATAAAAAGAGGGGGGGGGG